TATTGACTTTATAACCTGCTATGCTACTGAATTTCTGTATTAATTCTAGTAGCTTCTTGGTGGAGTTTTTTGGGTCTTCCAAGTAAAGTATCATGTCATCGGGCCTGGGCTAGGACTGGGTCTGGGGGTTCCTGGAATGCGGCAGAAATTCCTACTCAGCGGGCGGGGTCTGCTTCTCTTTTTCTTTTCTTTTCTTTCTTTCTTTCTTTTTTTCTTTCTTTCTTTCTTTCTTTCTTTTTTTTTTTTTTTTACCAGGGATTGAACTCAGGCCCTTGAGCTTGCCAGGCAAGCTACTGAGCCATCTCCCCAGCCCCATTGCCTGCTTTTCTTTCTTTCTTTCTGTCTTTTTTTTTTTTTTTTTGAGACAGGGTCTCACTATGCAGTTCAGGCTGGCCTTAAGCTCACTTTGTAGCCCAGGTTGGTTTTAGATTCACAACAATCCTCCTGCCTCAGACTCTAGAATGCTGGGATTACAGGCCTGTGCTACCATGCCCTGCTTCTCTCTCTCTCTCTCTCTTCCTTCTTCCCTCTCCCTCTCTTTCGATACAGGATCTCACTACACAGTTCAGACTCATAGTGATCTTCCTGTCTCAGCCTTCCCAGTGCTGGGATAACAGGCGTGTGCCACCATGCCAATTTCGGGGCTGGTACAGCACACCCGGGTGGTTTCTGGGTCCGGCACCGCATGCAGTACCAGGGATCAAACCCAGGTCCTTGTGCTTGCCAGGCAGGCTGGCCTTGAGCTCATTGGGTAGCCCAGTCTGGCCTCAAGCTTGTGGTTACCATCCTTCCACAGCCTCCTGAGTGCTGGGGCTAGAGGTGCGTGACCTGATGCCCCGATGCCCCGAAATCCCAGGGATTATCAGAGCCACACAGACAGCACTTCCTAACCTGAGAACGTGTCAAGGACTAATTCACTGGAATTTTGAGCAGGTCTATGACATTACACCTATTTTCATGGTTCCAGTTTTGTGGAGGAGAAACGGAGTCACAGAGAGATCAACTCAGTGACCTGAAGTTAGGCAGTGGTGACCAGGATGTGAACCCAGTGTCAGCACAGCCAAACGCCACTGCCTTTAAGTATGGCTTCATCCCAAAGGTGGCCTCCCTCTCCCCTACAGCAATGCCAATGCGAAGCAGGGCTGTGTATACAGCAGGTGCCCACTAAGTGTCTGTGGTGACTTTGTCCCAGCTTTGTTCCTGCCCAAAGGGGAGGAGGGGTCCGTAGCACTTAGCAAGTGCCTGATGGAGCCAGGGACAAAGGGCAGACCCTGAGCACCTGCTGCATACCTGGCTGCAGGTGGGGGTTGGGGGATGGGGGGAGGGGTGCAGTTACCTCTCCAGAGAGCTATTGGGTTGGCAGGATGGGGCATGCAGGGGCAAACAGTCCAGCCCTCCCCCAGCTCTGGTGTCCCTGTCCCCTGCCTTGCCTGTCCGTTGGATCCCTCCCCACATCTTTTCCCCACTCTGGGGACGTTGGTGTTGTAACAGTCTCAGCCACCAGGAACTTGAGTACTCTTGGCTGGAGCTCTTCCCCATAGCTCTAGGCGCAGGCTCCTGGGTCTGGGCAGTTCCTCCTGTCTCACCACCTGCCACCTGCCACGCGCCAGTGGGGATAGCAACAGGGGCCAACAGGGAGGCCAGGAGAGTGGGGTGTTCTGGAAAGGGCTGGGATCAGCTCCCTGTGCTGAGCAGCAAACCACAAACTTCAGGGGGCTGTGGAGGCTGGAGAGACAGCAGAGCTGGGGCTGGTGCCAGGCTTGGAGTGCCGCCCAGCTGTCCATCCTGGGACCTGGGTATAAACCACAGCTCCAGCACTCTGGGAGACTGAGCGGGACAACAGCAAGGCCCATCCCAGCCTGGGCAACTGAGTGACTTAGCAAAAATTGTCTCAAAATTAAAAAAAAAATTAAAACACCAGAGAAGTAGCTCAGCGGAAAGACCCCGGTTTCATTCCTCACTAAGAGAGGTGACAGGGCTATGCTTCCTGTGCCAGGCCTGCAGTGTGCCTCCCTTTCCCCACCTCGAGTGGCAGAGCACCCAGAGGAATGTCAGGAATAGCAGTGGGCGTGCTTAGCACAGTTGTGTGCAGCTGATGTTGTGGTGCCTGGGTGCACAGAGGGGGGACCCAGGCAGTCTCTCGGGTCCACGTTAGCAAACTACAGGGTTTCCAATTACACCTGAATGCCAGATAAGCATCGATCAGTGCGTGTGTGTGCACCCGCATGCGTACATACATGCTTGTGTGCGCGTACTGGGGATGCTAGGCAGGTGCTCACCACTGGGCTGTACCCCTCACATTTATATTTATATTTCTTTACTTGGGCTTTTTGATACAGGGTCTTACTACGCACTTTAGTCTGGCCTTGAGCTCACTTCGTAACCCAGGCTGGCCTTCCTCCTTCCTTAACCTCCTGCTAGCAGTTGTATTTTTTTATTTTGAGGCTGGGTCTTGCTGAGTTGCTCAGGGTGGGCTCGCAGGCGGACTCCTCTTGCCTCAGGCACCTGAGCACCTGGGATGACAGGCCAGCACCATAACCCCCAACCATGACTGCATCTGTAGGTAAATATATTCTGTGTAGTGCTGGGGACTGACGTACAGTAAAGAAAAACTGTTAGCCAGGTGTAGTGATACATGCCTGTAAAAACCCCAGCACTTGTGAGGCTGAGGCAGGAGCACCTTCATGAGTTTGAGGCCAGTCTACAGTACATAGTGAGACCCTGTCTAAGAAAGAAGGGGAAAGAAAAGAGTGATAAAAAGGAAAAAGCTGTTTACACCAGCCGTGGTGATGACATGCTCCTAGCACCTCAGCATTGGGACAGCTGAGGCAGGATCGCTGTGAGTTCAAGGCCAGCCTGTGCTACATAGCAAGACTTTGTCTCAAGGGGGGTGGGGAGAGAAAGAAAGAAGGAAGGAAGGAAGAGGCTGTTACCTGACATTCAAGTTTGTGCGTCCAGGGCTCCATCTGGGCCCTTCGAGCTATCCCAGCTTCTTAGCCCACTTGGCAACCTGACAGGAAGTGGGGAGGACAGTGCCATGGGGCAATGCAACGGCGTCCCAGCTCCAGCTATAAAAGGGGAGGTGGTCGGCTGGACCAGAGGCCCTGGAACCCTGACCCCATCATGACCCGAGGCCACCGAGTCCCCAGGCCTGCCCTCACCCATGTGCTGCTGGGCCTGCTGCTGGCTGGTGAGTGGCACCTGCCCACCTGTCCCCAGGGTCCTTTCCCTGCTCCTGCCTGCTGCCGGGATGGGAATCTGGGAAATGCAGAGTTTCCTAGCACTTGGGAGGCTGAGGAAGGGCGTGCGTATGCGTGTGCATGTGCGTGCATGCGTGCGTCTCTGTGTGCATGTACTGAGGGCTTCCTGAGCCCACCTGGGGCTCTACGGGGAGACACAGAACCAGCCTCTTCTCCTCAGTGCCTCAGTTCCCTCCTCCTGTGTCCCTAGGGCCTGCACTGGCCTCAGAGATCGTAGGGGGCCGCCCAGCACGGCCCCACTCCAGGCCCTACATGGTGTCACTGCAGCGGAGCGCAAGGCACTTCTGCGGAGGGACCCTGATCGCCAGGAACTTTGTGATGTCGGCTGCGCACTGTGTGAATGGCCTGTAAGTTCCCTGGGCCCTCGATCCCTGGGGGCCTGTCCTATGCCCCCTGGGACTACCGATGATTCCTCTGAATTCTGGAGAGGAAACTGGGTCTCAGTGTGTAGCCCAGACTGGCCTCCAACTCACAGTGATCCTCCTGCCTCAGCTTCCCCAGTGCTGCGTGGGAAAGGCCAGGGGACCACAGGAAAGAGGAGCTCCCCTTGTGCCCCAGCAGGGCATGGTGGGTCTCTGAGGTCCCCTTGTTACCCTAGCCCCCAGGGTCATGTACCTTCCCTGCCTCTTAGAAACTTCCAGTCAGTGCAGGTGGTGCTGGGTGCGCATAACCTGCAGCGGAGGGAGCGTACCCGGCAGATCTTTGCTGTGCAGCGGATCTTTGAGAACGGCTTCGACCCCTCGATGCTACTCAATGACATCGTGATTCTCCAGGTGCTGAGGTTGGGGAGGATGCAGAAGGGGGCTGGGGGACATGCTGGGGTCACATCATGGGGTCCAGAATGACGTGTGGTAGCAGCAGGGTGTCTCATTCCCTCTCTGAGCATCAATGAAATGGAATGTTAGTGCTTCCCTGGACTGCTGTGGAGGAATTAAATGAGATAATACTGTAGGAAAGTTCCCAGGAGTTGTCAGTCAACAAGCTTGCTTGCTTGCTTGTTTTCCTTCTTTCTTTCATTTGTTCGTCTCTCTCTCTCTCTCTCTCTCTCTCTCTCTCTCTCTCTCTCTCTCTGTCTTTCTTTCTTTTTGACATAGAATCTTGATGTGTAGTTCAGGCTGGCCTAACTCCTAGAAATCCTCCTGCCTCATCCACCCAAGTGCTGCGATGACCAGCATGTGGCATCACACAGGCTGATAAACCACTGTTACAGAGTCCACCAAAATATGTATACATCAGGAAAAGAAAAACTTGCATAAATATTTTATTTATTTATTTATTTATTTTGTCGGAACTGGGGTTTGAACTCAGGCCCTTGTGCTTGCCAGGCAAGTGCTTATTCTACTGAGCCATCTCCCCGGCTGCATAAATATTTTAATACTAAATTTATCACATGCTGGATGTGGTGGCACATGCCTATAATCTCAGCACTCGAGGGGCTAAGGCAGGAAGATCATTGGGTGTTTGAAACCAGCCTGGGCTCCAAAGAGAGCTCAAAGCCAGCCTGAACTGCATAGCAAGACCCTGTCTCTAAAAAGCAAAAAACAAATTAAGACATCATCAAATGAATACAAATTACCTTTGATCTCTACCTTGGCAAGAGATGCTTAGGCGGTGCCTATAGCTTCCAGACATTTGTTAGTCCAGTGAACTGCTGGGGTGTGAATGCATTATTTTAGTGGCGTCTGTGTTTCCCTGTTTTGTTTTTTTTTTTAAATTTTATTTGTGTGTGTGTGTGTGTGTGTGTGTGTGTG